GCACACCCGGCGTGAGTTTAAGCCACTGGGTCCAGGACTTGAACCATGGTCAACTACATGGGAGTCCAGCAGCAGCAGCCATTACACTCTCTGCTGGTTCCTACAGTGACATATTTTACTACTGAAGAACAACTCATATTAATACAATTAGAAAGAAAGACCTAGATTTATATAGCCACACATTTATCTATTGTTTTAACATATACTTTTAAAAATAAATCTTATGTGAACCTCTTTAAGTGCTGTCCACTGTCCTATGTTCCCATGTGGTTATGATTTGAGCAACCAAGTACCTAGTGAAAAAAGTAGTAAAACACACTATAACTTTTAAACTAATTATTTGTTTACATTTTATTTTATGTAACAAGAGGCATTGAAGGACTTAACAGAGTTAAGAAATCACTTTTCCCTTAGGACATTAAAATTTTTTCAAAGAAAAAGCTGATTTTTAAAAACAGATTTATTTATTTATTTTTCCAATAAAAAAAAAAAAAAGAAAGAAAGAAAGAAATAAGGGATTGCAGCATGGCCATTCTCCCAGGGGGTGGTTTCTTGCTGTCCCCTCTGTGTCTCTGACAAATGCACGTGCCCTATAGCAAAAAAAAAACTCTGAAAAAAAAAAAGATTTAAAATATAAAATACAGCATCTCATTTTGGTTATAACTTGCATGGTTTCTGGTGAGACAAAACTCTTAGGGATTCCTGATACATGCCTCAGCCTCCTATATGCCCTGTTCAGTAAAGTATCCGTTGACAGAACCCTCCTCCCCACCTCCAGTGGACATGAAGCATGACCCAGTGCACCCTAGCTTTACACATCTTTGCCCAATTTTTCTCTTGAGAACATGGTAAGAGACTGCTGTTACCCAGAAATCCTTTATTCACCAGAATAACAACTCCCAATTTAAAACCGGGAACATCTCCAGGCTCAAAAAGGACTTAGATATTGTGGCATATTTCAAAATAGGCACTGGTTGGACAGAGTGCCTGTTAAGGGATGGATCCTCTCACCTTCCCATGTGCAGTCTGCTGCCGTGAACGGCTGTGATGCTGTCTGCTCTGGCAGGAAGACAAGGCCACCCTGGGAATGGTGGAGTGGGTAAACTGCCGGTGACTGCAGGAGACCGCCACCTACCCTAGACTGCTAGTCACTTCCAGACTTTGCTCCCTCCAGAGAGAAAGAGGCCATCTTGCAGAGCTGCGTGCTTTCTGTCATGCACTGCTTACTGCAGAGGGGCGGAGGGCACGGGGTTGTAAAGTTAGAGCTGTATGAGGTCACCACACTGTCAGGTGGACTTAGGACAACTCTTATTCTCCATTGTTTTAAAAATGCTTTTAAAATTGTTTATGATGTATTCTGACCCACAAGTTCTTAAATATTTCAGTACTCAAGTTATTTTTTTTCTTTTGTTTCTCCATTTTCTTCACTCCTAGCAAATCTTAACTTTTTTAAAGGATACAGTTTCTGTAAGTGGATCCAAGTTACTGAAAGAAAAAAAGAAAAAATGTCAACAGTAGGCAGTGTTTACAAAAAAAAGTTCACATAAACCTGCTAAAACTAAAAATAACATGCTACAAGGAGAACAAAACATGCTTAATCCGCAACTTTAAAATCAACTGTAGAGTCAAGGAAGATGGTTTAAACTGCCTAGTGGCCAAAACGAGTTCTAACAGCAATAAAGACACACTGTGTAGTTTCACTCTGCTGCTGCCGCTTTACCCATTACTTCACAGTTAATAAATATGCATCAGAACCTTTCACTTTCTAAAGCAATAAGTCATTCATAAGACTCAGGACCAAGTAGGGGTGTCTCAAATAGAAGGTAAACGTCACCTCCTGCGGCATCTAACCACAGACCTTCCAAGCCTGCTTCTGGATGTTCCTAACAATGTCTGCTTTTCCCTCTATTCCACCCCTGAACTGTGGGTGCTGCTACCACTTAGTTTTTGCACTGCCCCACTGCCCTTCGATGTTCCCACCTCTCCTTCCCCACTCCATTACTGTACTCTGAATTCTTCTAGGAAGCCTCCCCAGTCAGGCCTTGGTGCCTCACCACTGTACCCCATCACACCATTCCCCAATCAGCATTCTTAGACACACTTCTTCCAAAGCCAAACAGCCCTGTCCCCTGACCTTCCTATTCAATTAATAGAACCACTATTTTGCCAGGCTCAAAACCAGCAACCTTCCTTTAGTTCCTCCTCTTTTCATTTCTCCTCAAATTCTTCCTTAAGACCCTTGATGCCAGACAGCCAAACTACATTTCTCTAAATCAAACCCTTTGGCTTTAGAATGCAGTGACACAAGAAAGTTACTAAAAACCCTACAGAACTTTTGGGTTTAACCCCTGACACTTAAACTTTTTTAAAATTTTACTGTTATTTCTTAATTTGCTATAGGGCACATGTGCTCAGCAGGGAGGGAGAGTGAGCGAGAAAGAGAGGGAAAGTGAAAAAGCAAGTCGCGGGACCAGCAGTTGGCATAATGGCTATATCGCTGGACTCCCATGTAGTCGACCACGGTTCGAGTCCCGGACTCGGCGGCTTAAACTCACACCAGGTGCGTGTGCGTGCATGCCCAAGATCCCAAGAGGAGAATGGAGGAGAAGGGATTGCTGTGTAGCCATCCCCCCTGGGGGGTGATTTCCTGCTGCCTCTCTGTCTCTCTTTCTGGCGAGCACACATGCCCTATATCAAAAACCTCTCCAAAAAAAGAGAAAAAAAAAAAAGAAAGAAAGAAAGCTGCCAGGTCCAGAACTTGAACCATGGTCCATCATGTGGGAGTCCAGTCCAGTCCTTCACCACCACACCACCTGCTGGCTCCAATATTTAAATTGTTTAAGTTACTTACTCGTGTCAACATAAATTAACTTTCCAAAAATATCACTATTTCTGAAAACAAACAAACAAAAAACCTTGAAGTGACAACACTGGCATCGTTTTAACAACTCTGCAGTGTCTGGCTCAGGAGTAGTCAGCTGGATTCTCAAGTGTTTGTTATGCTTACTGTTGACAGATCACAATCTGGGAAAACCCCAGTGCACACTTGTGAGAGCACGAGAGTGAAAAAGGCAAAAAACCTTCTGCGTGTTGTCGTGAAAGCCGCTATGACCTCACAGAGCGCCAGAGACAGCCCTGAGGGCCCAGGAGCTGGCCCATGGGAGAACGACAGTGCCACCCTCCCAGTCCCCAGTATAGCATCCTGTCTGTCCTGCCCAACTCTCCAGCAGACAGCTCTTCTCTATCTCAGCAGCTTCCTGTTTCATCACAAAGAAAATGCAACAATAAGCAGAAAGCCCCAAAGTCCCAGCAACCACACCTATAGGCCACCTAGAAGCACCTGCACCCACGTGCCCCCCCCATTAACTACACTGAAGTAAGGAGGTCCCACCCCTTCCTACTCAGGCCCTGCTCCTGCAGCTCTGCCTCTTCTGCATCTCCAGGTTCTTCATTCCAGGGAGAGAGGTACAAATATGGTGCACCCTGACCCCGGCAGCTCCTGACAGTGCCCCACTCCTTCTGCCTGCAACTCTCCTGGTATCTGAGGCCCTCCATGGGGCTCTCCTCCTCTTCGCTGGACCACTCCTCCATTCTCCTTTTCTTTTACGCAGGACACCGTGGGGTACTATCCTAGAACTTTTCCCTGTCTACACTCGCTCCATCACTGACATCATCTAGTTTCCTGGTCGCTTGTCACCACCTACATAAGGTTGGCCCCAAATTTCTATCTTTAGCCCAGACCTAGCCCTGAGACCCCATGGCCAGATGCCTACCCAACCTCTCCACCTGAGTTGCACACCTGTCAGGGAAGCTCCAGACCTAGACCCAGCCCTGTAGCTGACGTCTGAGGGGCCCCCTACACTCCTTCCTTCACAATCTACTCCAGCCACGCCGGCCTCCTTTCCCTCCCTACTGCTGTCCTCTACCCGGAAGCTTTCCTTCCAGTATCCCCGTAACTCAGCCCCTCACTTCCCCAGGTCTGTGTGCCGTGGTGACACCTTCCCGGAACCCCATCTACAACTCAGGTCCACTCCCTTCCTGTTTCCCTTCCCTGCTTCTGTCTTTCCTGTGTGCTAAGTTCTACACATCATTTCACCTGTTACCCCTCTAACACGGTCCGTCAGGCACCGATTGCTTGTTTTGTTCACTGCCATGTCTCTAGCACTGGACGTAGTAGGCACCTTGCTGGTTTTCCAAGAAAAAAAAAATTGTTAAATCACTGCAATGTTCTTGATCCACTGCTTCTTTGAACTCACACTGCAGCCCCTGACTACAGGGATTCTCAGTTTTCTCCCCAGATGCCCTAATCAAGTGGAGAAGATGGGCAGGAAAGGGAGGCTTCCTACTGGCATATTTTGAAGACCCTCAAAAGTCAAACAGTTCTCGGGGACTGGCAGGTGGCATGGTGCTTAAGGATGCCGGACTCCCACATGGCTGACCACCAATCGAGTCCCAGACCTCACAGCTTGCTTTCTCTCTCTTGCTCTCATTCTGTCCCTCTCTGGTCAAATTGAAATAAATAAAGTTAAATTAAAAAAAAAAAGTCAAACTGTTCTCTGAAACCTAATGTTTTATTGGAAGTGTCTGTATATTTTCCTCCTGTTTTATTCTTTTTCCACAGAAAACAGTGTTAACCCTTCCTAGATCTTCAGTTGAAACTGATCCTCCAAGAGGCGAAAGCTTGACTCATCTTGAAGCTTCAAGGCCCCTGTCATCTCCACGCTGCACCTCCTGAATCGAAGCTTCCTGCCTGCTAAGCCATCATCTCTAGGACACACCATGGCCTCTCAAACTGCTCAGCTGCCTGGTTTCCCTCCTCTAATCACCTCTCATCCCCCAGAGCTGGATGGGGAGGACTGTGGCTTCCAGAGAAGGGCATTTCCAAAGTGTCATGGCTGGGGATTCCTGGCTGGGATGGGATTCCAGGTTCCACTCTCTCCCACTTCCAGCGCCTTCACCCTGAGTTTGCAACATCTTAATTATTCACGGGATGGGGATGCTGGCACCTCACAAACTGAGGATTAAGTGGGTTATGACATGTGCATGCAGAACAAGGCGGCACAGCTTGCCTTTGTCACAAGTTCCCTGAGTTATCCTGCTGTGCCCAGGACCCGCCCAACCGAAAATTCCTCCCCAGGATCAAGTCTAAACTCAAGGAAAGAGCTGAAGTCCAGTTCCACCTGTTTGTCCCTGACTGCTGGGCTACACAGACCGCCCACACCTGTTTTCTCCTCCATACCTCGGCCTTTCTGCGACATACATCCTCCTCACCTATCACACTGTCTCCATCTTTCAAGGCTCACCTCCTCTTTGAAAGGTTTCCAGCTACTGCACCCCAAAGTTCTTTCCATCATCTTCACTCTGGAATCCGAACCACTCGGTCCTTAGTTTCCTAGACTGCCCTTGTTTGTTCTTTAAGGGAACGTTTATGTCATGTCTCCATTCTCCTGCCTCAGCCTCCCAGCTGGGACCAGGGGTGCACCACCCCACCCAGCTCCTTCTGGACAGGGTCTTTGTTGCCCAGGGTAGCCAATCCTCTTGCCTCAGCCTCCTGAGCTGCTGGGATTACAGGTCCACACCACTGTGCCAGGCTTTTAGGTGGGACAGGGAATTGAACTCAGCTCTCCCACGTAGTCCCAGCCTGCAAGCACAGCATCACACAACTAGCTGGGCCTAGTCTGTTATTTTTAAAGTGGATCTGGGAGCGATTAAGTGGACAGATACTTGATGAATCGAACTGTAGCAAAATGTGTCCGATTGAGGTGCTGGGTCTCTAGGAGTTCTTCTAACTTTGCTAAACGTTCAGGAATTTCCATAATAAAACGTTTTCTATTAAAAAAAAGGGATCTGCAAATCACAGATGCGTCTTAATGCGAATTCACAGAACCTGCCCTCACCGTGCGCACAGCGTCCCAGGGCCTCCCAGGCATCTGCCCGCGTGACTTGGCAGCAGGAAGAGCCGTGGGCTCGGGGCTGCGAGCCAGGGTCACAACGCACAGCCTCAGCCCGGACCGCCGCAGCACCCCCTGCACGGGCACCGGCTGGCTCACACACGGAACCGCCGCCTCCAGGTGGGCTGCCCAATACGTACCCTGCCCATACTTGGCCACCGACCAAGATCCGACCTTCGCGACCACCCACTGCAGCCGGTACTTCAATGGGGCCCACCGCCCAGAGGGTGGTCACTGCCAGGCCACTGCCCGATAAGCGACAGAGCCGGGCGCCCATCCCGGCCGTGGGCTCGGGGCCGCTCCATCATCCGAGCGCATCCGGACAGCGACCCCGAGGCAGCCCGAGCGCTGCCCCGAACCCACGAGCACGCAGGAGCGGGGGTGGGGGGCGGCGTTTACGGGCCACGGCCGAGGTCACCAAGGCCGGCGCGCGCCAGCTCCGTCCCCGCCCGGCTCCG